CTTTTATTCATGTCCTGCTTAATAACTAAAATAACATGATGATGCAAATATCTAATTTCTACTGAAATATGGAAATGGACAGAAGAAAGAGCAAAGCATTAACCCTGTGTCTAGTGTAGGATTACACAAACCTTGTGTCTGACAAGTCACACTTGGTAATACTGTAGATGACAGAGTTATTAAATGTCCATTACTTGTAAAGTTGGAACTGTATGGGCTACATTGGTCTGAAAATAAAGAGAACAATTAACATTAGTTAAGAAAAAAAATAAATCAAGGATGGTTTATAATATATATATATATGTATACAGGTTTACCTCCAGAAAGGATGCTTAGATTGACAGAGATTAGGTTAAATTTATCTTCAGAATAATCTCGGTGAAATATCATTTGTATTGCTGAAAGAAAAATAACATGAGTTTTTCAAAAGTGCTTTCAAGAAGTAATGTTAAATATGATATAGATACCACATCTACCTGGAGAATTACTGCTGTTGCAGAGACAGACATCATTCAGTTTGATTTCATCAGTGGATATTGTGATTTCAAAAACAGCTGTGCAAACATTTAAGCATAAAGCTAGGTAACAGTGACATGATATGAACTCTTTAAGATTTCATTTTTAAAAAAATGTCTACTTTGTTGTTTACTATTGTGCCCCAAACAACATTTTCATACGTTTATTTATTTATTTTTTGTTTCTATATGAATCGTACTTATCCGTCCAGTGAGGCAGCAGAGGATCATCATCATGATCATGATCCGCCGCAGCACATTCAGCTTCTGTCCAGACATAATTCCCACAGACCTGACAGAGACACACGTGTTTAATGTTGTTTTCTACAGGCTCTGAACACAAATCCATCAAATACATCAGTTTCTCATTACATTCCCCAGATCAAAATCCACAAATGAGAGAAAAGAGACTTTCATCCGTTCACCTCTGAAGCTTCTGGGTTATGATGTTAAGGACAGAAAGTTCACTGACACACATGCAAATCAGGGGCATATTTGAGCTCCAGCTGTGAATGTCAGTGTTCATTTACATTCAGCACTGGGTCGTCATGTCACCTTTAACTGTAATAGCAAATAAATGTATATGATTATTTCAAGTAGTAATAAGATCCATTAACTTAAAAACATAAACTCAGGATGGGAATAAGATAATATCAATTTATTTTAAAACAGATTTTCAATCAGATGAACAATTTTTAAAACTTTAACACACAAAACAACAAAATATGACCTTTATTTACAGAGAATAGCACTTCAGTAAACATGATATGCTGTAGTCGATGACATCTTGTAATCTTTATCTTAATAATCTGCATTTTTCAACCAATAAACTTCATCATGATAAAGGAATAAGCAAAAAAGGACAAATAAAGGAGCATTGTATTATTAAGCACGCTAAATAATGCAGAAATAATCAGCTGTTTCCTAGAGATTTTATGTATTTTCATCTTCAAATTTGGACCACATCTTCCTGAATGTTGGTAAGCTGATGCATCATATAATCATGCAAATTTCTAAACTCACACACGCCAACATCAGTAACATCCTGAATTAGTTTTTAAATAAGGCACAATGGTGTTTGTGTCACTCAGACACGCACATAAAAGAGTCCTCCAACAACAACTCACACACTGCTGGTAATAAGTTCTTACATGTTCTGACAAGGTTCTCTCAAAGTTATGATAAAATGTTCTCCAAGTAGCATCAATAGACAATAATGCTCTCTAAACATTGACACAAGAACATTTATAGATTGTTCATGTGGCTCCATAGTTGGATTTACAGCTTACATTTAAAAAAAAAACTAAATGTTTCTGTTATTTTAGAGAACATGCAAATGTAACTCTCCCACTGAATGTGTTTAGACAATTTTCAATCTGGGTTCAGAGCACATCACATCACAGTACAGAGAGCGCTCTTATAAAGATAATCAATGATATCCGCCTAAATACAAAATCTGGTAAACTAACAGTGCTGGTACTGCTCGATCTCAGTGCTGCATTTGACACTGTCGATCACAGCATACTTCTGGATAGGCTGGAAAACTGGGTTGGGCTGTCTGGCACGGCCCTCAAATGGTTCAGATCTTACCTTGAAGGTAGAGGTTACC